TCGAAATACTTTCTTCTTTGCGAGACAAACATTTTCTCCACAAAACTCAGTTCGCGCGCGTGCAAAATGCACTTTTGCGCGCTCAAAATATGATCTTTCGCGCGCAGAATTGTGGCAGAAATGTAAGCCCATAGCATTAGAGCTGGTACACCGTTGTCGCTTGCGAAAACACAGTGAGGGCGCTGTGGGTGTATTACATTTACAGATTAAGGGGCTGTAATATTATAATAAGATCCTTTTGCAAAAGTCAGATTTTCATGATATGTCACCTTTAAGCAAAACATGGTCAGGTCAAAGTGTCTGAATAATTTTCTGCCCCCAATTTTACTGGTAGTCCACTGTATGAAGAATTTTTGGGGATAATCACAGTTTACTTTATTTTGCTATACTTACTTACATAAATGAACTATAATGTCCTGCACCCACTAGTAAAAAAAATATCAAAAATTATATCTGGTGTCTGAATAATTTTTGGTTTGACTGGATTAATTCTTGTTAAACTACAAAGTAATTCAGTCAAGAGCGGTGAGTGATTTTCTTTTGATTTTCTTGGATTAGGCGCGGTCACTTTAAGAGACAATGCATCCATTATAATGATACACCTCCGATTTCTTTCTCCACTGTTTACTTTAACTTTAGACATAACTGACAGTTTTTTCGAGGATACTCTCCAAGACAGGTATTTTGACATAATTTTGTTTGCATTTGTCGGTACAAGAGCGAGAAGAGGCAAATTCGGTGTTCGAGCACTTTGAGACGCGTCTCTCCGCGTGCGTCCTGTGCGCACAGAACACCGCGCGCGGGTGCTGAATTGAGCTCTTTTACATCTTCGTGTCCAACTGTCTTTGGGCGCGCGCAGGCATCCGGTGCGTGAGGTGTGTACGCGCTCTGGCGTAGTTTACGCAAGCGCCGGAGGTGATCTCTCGCACGTATACGTCACGCATTGTTTACACAGTGCACAGTCATTGTAGGTACGACGGCTAATCAAAATGGTACTTACTTGCGCTTATCCGGATTGTTCAAACCGACTTAAAACTAAAAGATTACGTTCTCTCGCGCGAATTCATTCGGGAGTGGTGACTTTCCACGTATTCCCAACTTCTGAGCCTGCTCGCCTGAAGTTATGGTTGATTGCTCTTCGGCTGGATAGCAACACACCCTTTAACGTAAACTACGCCAGAGCGCGTACACACCTCACGCACCGGAGGCCGTGCGCGCACTCAAGACAGTTGGACATAGTGGTGTATTAGAGGTAAAATATTATATAAATACTGTTTGGTTTCTCGCACAAACCGATCGTTTCGTGTCTTAGGACATCAATGTGTCGTCACGAGCCGCAGGGTTTAATTTGGATTTGTCTGTGCATGTTTTTTTTACTCTCATAGATTTTGTAACCATTGCCATGCATTATACGACTGATAGACTGCAACGGTTTGAGTTAAAAATCATCATTTGTGTTCTACTGAAGAAACAAAGTCACCTACATCTTGGATGCCCTGGGGGTAAGCAGATAAACATCACATTTTTGGGTGAACTATCCCTTTAATGTATTTTTTTCTACAACTGGATTACCTAAATTCTGTTGTTTCCTAATTATAGATGTACACTATATTTTACACATTGCACATTTTAGCACAGAAGCCTGAAAGTCATTCTTGACTATTATCATGTCATGAGCTATCATCAAATTACTGATCTCATTTTCCCAATTATTTATTTTTCTATGTGATTAAATGAATAAATACAGAATCAGAATGAGCTTTATTGCCAGGTATGTTTTCACATACGAGAAATTTGTTTTCATGACAGAAGCTTCCGCAGTGCAACAAAGTTTTTTCTGTATTTACTTTACATACATAAAGTTTTTTTTGTGAATGTTCCAGTTGGGGAACAGAATGTGCAAATTTAAGATAAATGTTCATATTGCATCTGTGTGTCAATACAAATGTAACTGGTTGTGTAAAATAGGTACATAAAATCATAATATCGATACATCGATCGATACTCCTGAATCGAATTGTATCGTAATCGTACCATATAATTTTTTTTGTAGGTATTGGCAAATACTTTTTCGCTGTATGAGAATCGTGAACCCAGTCAAACATTTTTGGAGAAATCTGAAAATGGCTGTCAGTGTCAATGTACAATTTCACTCTTTTCTCTTTAAGATTTCCTCCTTAGTATTTTAAGGCGTTTTGTGTTTTTTTTTTTTTTGATATAACATGAAGAAATAAAGTATTTCACGCCCTATTTATGCTTACTTTTTTATTGTACTTTAAATCATTACGTATTTAATAATTGCATTGTATATAAATTCATTTGATTGAATCTGTTAGTCCCGCCACATGTGCTTCTACTATGCTGAAGTGTTCTTCTCCAGTCCTCTAGTTGGCGCTAGACGGTCTGTTTGGATTGAGCAGGCGTTGTCAATGAACGCGAAGCAGGAGCAGCATGAGCCGAAGTGTTGGGATCACGTCCGTGGATCATTTAGTGACATACTTTGCACAAAATTTATAGTTTAATCATGCCGATGAAGGGAAGATTCCCTATACGGAGGACACTGGAGTATCTGCAGAAAGGAGAAGTCGTGTTTAAAAAATCTGTGAAGATTATGACTGTCAATTATAACACACATGGAGATCTGAGTGAAGGAGCAAGGTCAGGAAAACAATATCACGATCATCAATAGCTGACTTTATTTGCCATGCCTGCAAGCAGAGTTTGGTTTTTAATTATTTTTTTTTTATTGAAAGAGTGTTGAGTATTTTCAATGTCAACCTGTCGTCACGCCACCACAGACAAAAATACTGTTTGTGTTTTAAAGCTGAAAGGCATTTTAATATCTGCAATAAATTCGATTAGCTAGAATCAGATAAAATGTGAATAGAAGAACATTAACTACATGTAATCAAGAAGTTTGTAGGAGAAAAAAAAAGCATAAGAATTGTCTTTAAATACAAAGTCAGCCGTGTTTGAGAAGCATGATGTTAATGTATAATATTGTTTGACAGGAAGTTTGTGTTCTTCAATATCCCTCAAATCCAATACAAAAATCCCTGGATTCAAATAATGATGTTTAAAAACATGACACCCTCACCCTTTCTCCGATTTTACCTCGGTAAGTCATTTGTTTCTTTATTTTTTCTTTATTTTCAATATTTTCCCTCATTGTGGTATCTTCTCATTTTAATGCTGTGTTTAGATGAAGGAGAGCAAGTGTTGGTGGATGTAGAAGGAAAAGACCACAAAGAAATTACGAACCATGTGAAGATGATCCTTGGCAAGTCAGAGTAAGTACATTTACATTTATGCATTTGGCAGCCGCTTTTATCCAAAGCAACTTATTGTGTTCAAGATTTATTCAGCTCACACATTCCCAGGAATCCAAGCCATGACCTTGGCATTGCTAGTGCCATTCTCTAGGGCTACTATATCATTAGTGATTTAAAAGTAAAAAAATCAATTTTGTTAAGTATCGCATATTGTGGCACTCAAAATTGCAAGGGAAATTTCTTCACCGCAACAGCCCTACTACATAGTCAATTTCAGTGTGGGATCAACTTCATATATCCTATATCAACTTGACATCAAGACTTGATCAAGATGCTGTAACATCATTTTAAATTCAGTTTGGACGGCAATTTCTTTTAGAGGTAATTGGGTGAAAATAGGAAGCTAATCCCACACTGAAATTGGTTTAATTTATATGTAGGTCAATATCTTTGAGGTTCAATTTGCATTGAAATCAACGTCATGTTAAGTTTTTGACATCAGTTTGATTTGCATGTTTTACCTGATTTTCGGCGTCAATTTGATGTCTTTTCAACATCAATTGCCCACTGGGAAGTGGACAAGCGGTGAAAAATGTGGGCATTTGGACAAGCCCTAAGAAGCTTATGAATAGGTCGGCGAATCATTGACTCACCCGATTCATTCTATAATGCAAATTCATTCAGGAAAAAACACAGCACAAATGCACAAACATGGCTTTGATTGGAAACATTTTTGTTAGCAAAATGGAGCATTGTTGCCCTGACACAAAGAAAAGTCTGCCACAGACCATGCTAACCAAACAGTTTATATAATCACTCCAAATGTGTGTGTTTGTCCTAGGAAGACTGCTGTGCAGCTATAATTAAAGACACATAATTAAGAAATATATTACTTTGATTAAAAATCTGTATTTGTTGCTTCACAGTGACGGAGCTCAGTAAAAAATAATTAAAAACCTAATTTAAGTGTTACAGCAATAAGTTAAATGGCAAGTTATCTGAAACAGCTGCATTTTGCCATTTAAGTGCTAGCTGGGTGTGTAACTTTAAAAAAAAATTTTTTTACATTTTCAAATAAATTGATCCAGTAATCTAATCTCATTGGCTAGACTGTATATCTTCCTATCGATAGTTGGCCAGTGCACGTCGATCAGGTACTAACCGAAGCGTAAGTTTACACTGTAAAATGTGTAGAGAGCAAATCTGCGGTTCTAACAGAAATCATTGTAATGTGCATGAAAGCTTTTAGCACCAACCAGTGCTAATGCCAGTATTACTATTTGAACGTGTGTCCCTTGTGTCTGTACTCTGCTTACCCTCTTATGTCTCTTTCTGCCCACAGTAAAGTTCTTGAAGCTGAGGCTCTGGCTAAAATGGAGTTGTCTAACCCTGCTAACTTTGGGCCCAAGAAATATTTCCTGCGGGAGTGTATCAGTGAAGTGGAGGGTCAAGTACCTCATCCTGGTTTTGTCCCGCTTCCCAAAGAGATGACTGGCAAATACAGGGCCAAACTGGCTGCAGCCTCTGATGAGTAGATACTGTTTGAGACGAATGTGAAAACGCATTGGACGCTTAAAAAAAAAAATCTTAAAGGTCCTTAAACTTTTTTTGGTGGGTGAGATGAACATGATTTGATGTTTGTGACTTTCACTTAGACTGACTATGGAAAGCAGACTTGTTTTATAAACCTGCAAAAAATACATAATTCAATTAATAAAAAAAATAATAAAAAAAATAAAAAATTTGGTGATTTATTCTTGAGTGAATAACTACAAAACTAATGCCTAAAGAAAATTCTCACCACATTTTCATTCAGCGAATGAAACAGAATCACAGAATTGTATTAATTATTAGTGTAACATTTATGATACCTGATATTGCTCAGTGTAAACGCACAACATTATCCAAACGTTAATGGATAGGTTGTTAGTCACAATATGTTTCTCTGATGACGAAAACATAAATACAATTACAAAAAGCATTGCATTCAGCCACAGTGTTGCTGTCTGTTCTCACTGTCCACGAAAAGCCTCGAGTTAATACAAGACAGAACTCGTCAGTTGTGTTTCATGTCTTTTTGAGGTGGGCACACAAATGAAGCATTAATGAAACACGCAAGCAGAATTGAGATTTAACACAAATGGTACAGTTTCTGCACAGCTATTTAGAGGAGCAGCAGGCAATTATGATGACCATATGCATAAGTTTGTTACTGCAACACTGGTTTCCATAGCATTGGATGTATTTGTATAATTGCTAAATCATTTAAGTGCAACAGAAATGAGTACTACTAATGGTATAAAACAATATATACAGACTAAATTAGACATTTGACATTGATTAGGCAAATCTGTAATATTAAACCGATTCACCCCAAAATTAATAATTGTGAGAGATTTTTGTTTTTGACAGCATCAACTTCAATTGTATGCACAAAAACCTTCTTAAAAATACTTTTCCAAAAAAAAAAAAAAACGACATTGGTTTGGAACGACGAGTAACGTGAAATGATTTTCATGTTTGAGTGAAATATTCCTTTGATGTTTCAAGGATAGAAATAAAGAAATCAGGGTTTCTATTTAGTGAAGTGCTGGTTATCCATTAGATCAATATAATAATAATAATAATAAAAAAAGTTCAAAGCTGCAGGTGTGCGTTCATGCTAGACTTCGATAAACAGATTTTCTTAAAATTCTAAAGCAAAATGTATTCTGAATCAAAGCAGCAGTGTGCATGAAATACTGACTTTGCTGAACAGAAAATCTTAACCAGATAAGGGTTAATTCAACCACTTCCATAAAACCTACCTATTTATATGACTTGAGACTACATATTAAGATTTTGTTCACATAAAATACTTGAATATTACCCAAAGCTAAGACAGAAATCAAGTTGTTCTGATCAAGAATTGTCTTGTTCCCCTTCTACTATGCGTTCTTGCACAGAAACTTCTAATTTGTTTTAGATTTTTCTCTAGTGCATCAGTAGCTTACACAGTTTGTTTTGTAATTGGTGAGGCTTGTTTTCAGTTACAGATAACAAAGTTTGTGACGGCCACTATTTTTTTCTTTTCTGCTCTTGTAGTGTTTTTTGCAGCTCCTTTAGGTTCTCAGACAAAAGCTCCACTTCATCAGAGCGTCCGCTTAGCTTGGCGTCAAAGATATATGCCCGGATGTTACCGATCTGTTGTAGAAGTAGCTCTTCCTCAATCATGTCATCAGCTGCTGAGCCATCCTCTTCATCAAATGGATTGGTTGAGGCAGCTGGAATCTCATCGGAAACCTCTTTAAAAGGGTTACCTCTATCTTCATAATCTTCATCTTCAAAAGGATTTCTAGCTGACTTCACTTTAGCTGTACCTGTATCTTCCATTTCATCGTTTTCTTCCTCAAACGGGTTGTACTCTTTCTTTCCATTGGCTGTCTGAGAGTTTGTCGGTTCTTCCTCAGCAGGAGAGAAATGCTCCTCGTCAAAGGGGTTTCTGGTGGGTGCAGTTGGTGTGTGTTTATCTCTTTGCCTCTCTAAGGGAGGAGAGTTTCCTAATAGACGTGATAAAGACTTTGAAGACCCAGGGCTTCCAATTAAATGTTCTCCCTCTTCTCTTTTCGGAACATCTTCTCGGTCTCTGAAATCCAAGGAGGAGTGTTTTGACTGGTTCCTGTACTCGAGCTCTCTCTGCTGCAGATGTTCGATCTGTCTCTGCTGCAGGTCTGTCTCCTCAGCTAACCTCTGTGAAAGCTGGATGGCTCGACTGGTCTGCTGAGCATCAAACTCGTCCTGCAGCTGCCGCAGGTTCTCCTCCAGCATGGCCACTTCATCGGTGCGGTTGGCGGACCGCGCCTGCCGTAAGAACGACTCTATGTTTTTGATCTGTTGCAGCAGAGGGTCGTCCAGCTCAGAGCGAGTCTGCAGAGTGTCTGATTGTGGCAGCCAGCCTCCGGCTTTCGTCATGCGTGGACCTGGAACATCCTCATGTGCTTTTTTTACGTGAAGGTTATTTTCACTTTCCAATCGGCGTTTTTGTGCCTCCAGGCCTGCCTAAGTTGCGTAAGAAAAGTAAAGTGTTACAATATGCAAAATAATGAATTGCATCAGACCAGCTATTCCAGAAATCCAGTCTTTTTAATTTTTTTTGTATAATAAGTGTTATTGTGCAAGAATGAAAACATGATTTATTTATTTAGAAATTCATATCTAGACTACAGATTAATCAATCAGACTCACTGATCTGATTCTTAAAAAATAAATGCACTGATTTGATTAATCAAATTCAATGACAGGTTTGTTTAAGCTGAGCAAGTTCTGCGCAGGACTGATCATCAGGTGCGATTAGTTAATGTTCATTGGATCATCTCACAGGAACCTACAGGGTTCGTACGGGTGCTTGAATTCCTTGAAAATGTTGGAATTTTAATGTAGTGTTTTCAAGGTTTGAAAAATGCTTGGATTTTGGATAAAGTGCTTGAAACTGTAGTTGCATCGGTTTCATAATAATTGGCTTTCTTACTGAATAGTTCATTTTTTAAATAAAAAAAGCCCGCGGCTCCGCTCGAGTGCGCGTGTGATCTGCCGTAGTGATGTTAGGTTCTTGAACGAATCGTTCTTTTGAGCCGGTTCTCAGGAAGTAACCGGTCGAGCCGGTTCACAAATCGAACTGAATCGAACTTTAGTTCCGGGTTGATGACGCAGGACGCACAGCCGAAGTAGCACGTCCAACTCAAAAAGAACCGAATGAGCCGGTTTAACCAACTGTCGAAGTTTGCTGAAGATTACCGAAGATTCTGATGAGTGAGTTGACGATACAGTGCAAGCCTGAGGCGCGTTCTGGAAATAAGCTTATTATGACTGTTATTAATTTACATTTTATTAAAACCTGCAAAAACCTTTGTCGAGTGATGTAAATAAATTTTACAATAGTTTATTGTGCATGCATAGCCTATTATATTTAAAGTTGCTTAAGCGAAATCAAGGAGTTTATAAGACTGGTTTATTCATTCTTTATACTGTAGACATGTAGAACATATCCGCGTTTGTGCATCAATGTCTGTAATGTGTGCTGTAGGTGCAAAACTTTTAGGAATCTTACCCAAGTTGTAGGCTAGTCAATATTGGTCAGTCAGTCGTATCTGAGGATTCGCGAATGAAACTATGACCACAAACACCATTAACTTAAGTGAA